ATATCGTTGTGGTCTAGATTGAGGCCGTATCAGTTCATTCATTCATTTATACATTTTCAAAATTTTCCTACAAGAAGAAAGTTCACCTGCAATTGAGTATAAGGATAGGTAATGGAACTGTTGTAAACGATTATCCTATTGATTTTATCCTTATTACATTTATCTGTTGCGCAGAATGGTTGTTTTTACAAAGTGTACCAGTATCCGGATGTTGAAAGCTATCCGATTTTCTGCAATTACTGCTGACACATGGCCATCTATTTTTTTATGAATACATTACCATTAATTTGCATGGCTTGATAAAACTGAACCTGCAGCATTTCATAATTTTGCTGTTTAGGGTGTTCTTTTGGGTTTCAGGTTTTCTTTATTTTAAGGGGAAGTAACTCATGTTTACTAAATTATTTGTTCTTTTCTGTCTATCTTAGGTATTACTTATAATACTATTTTTGTTGTATATAATTCACCAGTTGTAAGGTCATCAAAAGCATGTTAATGTTAGGATTTCATATTTATTTAATATAAACTGGGAATTATTAATGTTATGTGCATACATGTATATCTTAGACAGTAGTATATTGATATGTTGAGACTTATATTTTCTGCATTTAAAGAGATACAGTTATGTCATTATTATTAAAGGGATGAGACTTTCATTTAAAGTTATAAATGATAAAACATGTATTGATTGAAAATGTCCTTAAACTTGGATCAAGCAATGTAATTAATAAAGTCTCAAAAAATCATATTCTGAATAGTTATTCTATTTTTTTTTCTAACATGTGCATAGTTTGAAAAAAACAGCTTCGGTCTTATCTATTTGTAATGAAGAGACACCGGTCTCAACCTCCAGGTCTTCTGAGTCAACCCAACAACAGACTGCAGAGCTCCAGATAATTTTTTTGGCCAAGGGGTTTTTACCCCTCAAAATTTAGAGTGAGGGGTAAAATGCAAATTCTGAAAAACTTAAGGGGTAAAATCTGTCAAAAAAGCATTTTGCATTTTTATAAACAAATTAAACTTATTGTTGTGTTTGTTTGTTTGTTTATTTTCTTTTTTTTAAGAAAAACCTTTACAAATTAAATACTGATTTAATGTGAAACAGTACAAAACATGCCATGTAAAGTCAGACTTCCAGAGTATACTGGAACTCAAGTTTAGGATACACAGCAAAATTATCAGAATTAAAATTAAAATAATCATTTTCAAAATTTGGAAGTCAAAGACTTCAAAATCTCTGATATTGAAAGTCACATTATAAAGGTAATGAAGGAAAGTATTGATTTTCGGAAGTCACACCAAATGAAGGAGTAAATGACTCCCAAACTTCCACTAGTGGATGCCCTCAAGTTATTTTATTTTCTAGGAGTCAATATTTTTCTTTCTTTATTTTTGTTGGCATGAACTTTATCATGTACTCCAGTTTGAACAATTATAGTTGAAATTAGAATTAAAGAAACATAAACAAGATTATTTTTATCTTTCCTTAAAAAAAGTATTGGTCTCACTCTGAGAGAAAATTGTCTGTAACTGTAGACTGGGTACGAAAATATTGAGTACAAAACTGCAGGTAAAAATGTTATTTTGTTCTAGCAACAAAAGTTAAAGAAATTAAAATATATTTTTGTTTATATTGAGGCATAAGTATGTCAATAGATGCCTAAACAAACTTAATACTGTGTTAACTCCTACGATGATTATCTGATAATTTCACAGGTTGATAGATCTACGGGAGTTACCTCCCTTCTGTATTTCCTGCTACTTTCGTTTTTAACATGCGTTGTTGACAACAGAATTTTTAGTTTTTTTTAATGCAATAAAATGGAAATATATTGTATTTTTATGCTCAAAACATTTTCTTTCTACATATCAAATGTTCACTTCTCTTCTTTTACGCATAAATTTTGATATACGAGCGTACTTTCATTTTGTTGTGCGTAACTGTGACGCACGAATTTTGAAAGTGATGCGTATTTTAGATTTTCTATGCGTATTTTACGCTTATACGCACGCTATCTGGAGCTCTGAGACTGTACATAGAGTAGATTGTTACTTGCCCTTGAATAAATTTGTGCACTAAATTTATAGTGGGTGATTTGTGCCACATGAAAACCAACATAGTATAAAAAGTAACTGGGCGCCAGATGAAAACATGAAAATACAATCTACCACAAAGTGGTTTGTTTGTTGCATTTTCATGTTTTTGCCCGGTGCCCTTGATGCAAAATACAAATCAGCCTTCGTAAAATTTCTTATGTTGGTCACAGGTTTGAGTTCTGGTCAAGCTCAAAGTTTTTCTCATCCTGTGACTGCATATAAGCATGAGTTCAATTTCCTATGCTCTGTAACATAAGAAATTCACGAACACAAATCGATATAGTGGGGAAATATGTTGTGGTTTAGAACTGTTTCATTATTAAAGAGAAAATGTGTAGCAGGCTGGATAGCTCAGTTGGTCTTCTGAAAGTCATGGGTTCGAGTCATGGTCAGGCAGTTTCAGTCAGGGTTTAGAAGTGGTTTTTCAACTGACACATGTTTGATTCATTTAACAGATTGCATTATTTGAAATGGACAAAGGCAGTATTGCATGATACTTTTAGATCTACAAAGGGCATTTGATACAGTTGAACACACTATACTGCACATCTGGGATGAAGAAGTTGTTTTTCTTCTTCTTCATGAAACTTCAAGCATCTGCCATATATAATGACATTCTTACATGGTTTAAGTCTTATCTCTGATAGTAGCTGGTTGATGTGGCTGGTACTCATTCTACTACTGCTCTGGGAGTACCTATGCTGTCCCCCTGATGTTCATTTTAGGTCCTCTTTTATGTCTAATATATGTCAATTACATGTCTTCAACCCTAAGCAATAAGCTTTTATTATAATGCACAGGCACGAGTATCAGACCTTGGAAGAAAAAATATGGCCAGATTGATAAAAAAACCTGTGTTCATCTTAAAAGTGTCAACAACCAAAATAAAATGTAAATAATGACCCCCTTTAAAAATATACTTCAAGTTGATAGTATATTTTTAAAGGGGATCATTATTTACATTTTTTGTTTTGGTTTTTATAAACACAGTTTTTTTATCAATCTGGTCATATTTTTTCTTCCCAGGTCCGATACTCGTGCCAGTGATTATATGCTGATGACTCAGGAATCCTTGTGTCTCATAAATAAATCTGAAGAAATTCTTTCTTATAGCATAAGTCTTATAAGATTGCTTAATTGACTATAAATTGTCTTTGCATCTTGGCAAGACAGAGTCTATTCTTCTTTGGTTTAAGTTTCAACTTAAACTGGCCCTAGCCTCCAGGTCACATGTAATGGTACTGCTATAAAGTACACATCTTTTGTTAAGTATTTAGGTGCAAATCTGGATCAAATTCTTTTGGCGTCGCCCTTTGATGCTTTGCATCAATGATTTTCTTGTACGTATTTGAGATTATCAATATTAACCGAACACGATAAACACAAATCATTGGACATGCTGCGCTTTAAATGTGTTGTAAAATTTTGTTGATAATATGACGCAAACCGTAGTAAGCAAACAACGTTGAAATAATTTGTGGATTTTCCCTTGTTGGAGAATTCTCAACTGCAAGTTTATAAAGAATTTCAACATGAAAAAATTGTGCAGCAGTATGTAAAAGGCCTAGTCCGATACTTATTTTGTCGGCTGAAACAAACATTTCATGTGAATGTTTACCATTTGCAACAGGGTCACAATAGATGCGGTCAAGTCTGTCAATAAATTTGCTTGTTGCCAGGTGGTCGCTTAAGGCCTCAACAGACGGTAGGATTTTGAAGTACAACACCAATTAAAACTAAGACGTACAGACAAATCTTAATGTGTGAAGGCTACTATTTCTTGATTTCGGAAACCTTATGTCGAGATGTAAAGGGGATAGGACATGTTCTATTTTGAAAATCTTGTCTTACCGATTTTTACAGACCTCCCACAATGACAAGTAACAGATAAGCAAATTATGTCCTGATAATGGATGTAATGAATGAAATTCCAGAACAATTAGGGCTAAAAGGTAAACATAGTAGTAAGATGGGGTAAAAATGATGTTGAAAAACTCTCCAGGAGACCCAAAGTTGTGTGGTGTTCGAATCTCAAATTATTCCGAAAATGATTATGTCACGATATTGAGTTGTTCTCTAATTACATGAATTTGGGGAGGGGAGGTAGTTTGTAGGCGGCCACATAGCTTAGTCAGTAGAGCCGCAGTACGGTATTCCGAGGGTCCCAGGTTTGAGTCTCGGTCAGGCTTCACATTAAAAAAAAAAATATATATATTTTTTTTTAATGGAGGTGTTTCAATCATTACTCATGGCGAAAAAAGTATTAAGTGAGTAAAGTATGTAAAGGATCAATGTAAAGGGATCCTTTTCAGGGGAAACCTCAGAAGATTCTTACAGTAAAGAATTACCGTCTGAATGCAAGTGTTGTATAGCTTTGAAAATTGTACATCTTATCTCTAATTAGTGCTGTACAACTAAATCCTACCGTCTGTTGAGGCCTTTAGAAAGAAAATTTAAAGCGGTCAGACAGTAGTATTAGGTCTGGTCAGTCGATGTGTAGCCTAGACGTGCTTTATACTGGTGGCACAGGCTATTCGGTTCCAGCCGAATAAATTTCAAGACATATCATTTATATTTCTAAATTAAAAATAATACTTTTATCTTTTGTCAAGTAGAAATTGTTCATTTGTAACTGAAACGGGATTTCTCAATCAGGTTCACTTGAGTACAAATAAAACATAATAATATATCGTCTGCAACACGTACCGATTGTAAATTTCCATAGCTTTATATTAGATATAATTAAGTTCTATTTGTATGCGTGCAGTGCCCTATAAATTAACATTCTAGAACGTTTAGTTGTTTATAAATATATCTACATATATAGTAACATACGTAAAATTGGAATAGTTTCTTATGGTTGCCAATAGTACAAAAAAAGAGTGCGTGATCGACGTTATATTTATTGAACCGCCTTACATTCGCAAATTCATTGACGCGTAGTGATATGTTGTGATTCATTCGTTAGGTGAATTTTGCAATAATCAGTCGTGAATTATAGGATTTTAAAAGGTAAGTGTAAATTAGTTTATACCTTGTATTTCAAAATAATGACTACTTTCATTGTTTTATATTATACGGCAACTATTTGCAAAATTTAACTATCTTGAACCATAAACTTACCAAATTAGAAACAAATTAGAATCTTGATCTGCATGTATTTTGAAAAATAATTCAATTTCTTGTAAAAGATAGATAGATGACGGAATGCAACTAGTAATCAATAAGTATGAGAAGTATGTACTTACTTAAGTGACGGTGTTCAATTCGGTCGTTCGCAGTTTTAATTTATGCGAGACGTTCATTACATGTCATGTGACTTCATTCGTTCTAAAGTATTATATAATCCTACTGATTTGCTGATTATTTTAATGGCTCATAACTTTTTTGAACACTTTGAGGCCAATATTGTATCATATATAAGGTTTATAAGTCATTTACAATGATATAATTTCAATGGTTACATTTACTGCGACAAAAACTGGGATATCCGTGAAACTAGGTCAAATTTGTTTACAAACATTGGATGATGCAACGCAAAAAAGTCTCTTTGTCTTATATTAACTGGTTATATTGAGGAAAAAAGATATCTGGTATGACATTTCGTTCTGTGATAACTATAAAATGTCTTCAAAAACATTTTGATTTCAGTATATATATAATATTTGAAGAGTAAATTTCCATGGCATCGATCCACAAAGGAGTAAAGTTGGCGAGACTCCAACAAATCACGAGACTTTAAAATTATACATTGTATGCTGGATTCCCATATATTCTTAAAATAGGAACAAATAAAAATAGATTATTACGTATCATAACAAACAACCGCCTCTTTGTGACAAAAGTATGCATGTATACAGTCTCACCTGAATATAAGAGCAACTCATATTTACAGCCACCATTTTTTTTTGTTCAATTATAATGATACATTTAATTAAATGTTTTGATATTGTTGTTGGAATGTAGGCTGAGGTCACGTGTTACGTTGTTCTGTTACGTTGTTGCTTTGTTATGCTATACTATACTATGCTATATGCTATGCTATATATATGTTGTGTTATGAACTATATTTGATTTGTTATGAATTTATGCTATGGTATATGTTATATTATATTATGTTACGTACGTTATGTTACGTTAGTTACGTTACGTTAATTAGTATGTTTTGTTATGTTACGTTACGTTTTATAGATCATATTAAATGAGTGTAAGCTAACTTAATGAAATTATATTATGTGTCGTGCCGTGCTGTGTTGGTGTGTTTTACAATTTGATGCCATGCTACGCATATACAATACTGTGCTATGGTACAAGTTGTGTTATGTTGCTATACTATGTATGTTTATACGGAAGAGCATTAGTGCCAGGTGTATGTTTTTTATTAACTCGAAATTTCAAGTTACTAACTCGAAATTTTGACTTTCTAACTCGAAATTTCGACTTACATTGCACGACTTTCATTGGTTGCCGGTGAAAACAAGGATTGAATTCAAGATACTTTCTTTCGTGTGAAGCTGTTGCACATTGACAGAGCACCTTTAACATTTATTTAACAGAACAATTTTATAGGGTCAAATTGTCCACACATACTGAACATATCCTTCGCTTTTTTGTGAAGGGGGGGGGGGGGGGTGTAAAATCACACTTTCCACATTTCTGTGTTAACCGGGTGTTTCTTTTTCTTAAGCACACATACAACCACCATGTGGAGAAACAACAAGTCCAAAACCCACCCTATTGTAAACTGTGCAATATCATGTGTTAAATAAGTTTTAAATGGCGTGTATACGCCAGTTAGTCTGTCACGTTTCTTTATACTAATAATGTTTTTGTAACGTTATTCATTATTTACTAATACTTTGATATTGTGTTGATAAAAGTTGATAAAAGTGATACTTGTTGTTATATATATGTTGGGAATAATATAAAAGCATCCGATTTTACAAGAAATATAGTCAGTCCAACAATTTTGACAAAGGCCTCAGCACGCCCTATTTTGGCCACGCTGCGATACTTTCCTCAGATGTCCCACACGTGTAGTATAGGATCGGTTTTTTACAGGGATGAGAAGAATATGATTAGTGAAAAGATATGTTCGAACAGATGGGATACAATACAACGTCTGAAGAACGCCTTAACGTACAAATTAAAGGAAGCCTTGTTTTTTTAGGTCGGGTGTGTACATGCCATTACTAAGTTTAAGTTAAATTTCAATAGTTTTTGTCCAGGCACCCGTTTCTCCATCTCCATCGTTCAAAGGCACTGCCTACTATATCTTATACCATCTAACTAATAACTTTGGCCATTCTCGTAATGTTAATAAGTCGAAATTTCGAGTTACTAAGTCGAAATTTCGAGATAAGTAACTCGAAATTTCGAGTCAGTAAGTCGAAATTTCGAGTTAGTAATTCGAAATTTCGAGATAAGTAACTCGAATTTTCGAGTTAGTAAGTCGAAATTTCGAGTTAGTAAGTCGAAATTTCGAGTAAGTAAGTAATAAAAAAACATACACCTGGCACTAATGCTCTTCCGTATGTTTATGTTAAATCGCCATGTGTTTATATATTTTAGTTAAATGCATAAAACTGAATCTTAAAAAAAAATGTTTCCGTTTTTTCCAGAATTTTCTCATACACATGTTTGCTGTGGACAAGTAGGTAAGACACTTCACTATCAAATAGGGAAACAAATAGGTTTATGATTAACTTACTGCTTCATAAAATGCGATGCTTAATTATCAAACAGTTTAAGTATCAACAAAATATCACTTAACTGGGGAGGAATTGATATGTTTTCCAATGTAACTGATGTACAATTGTACAATTTATCGAACAAATTAGAATGTAAACTAGCAAGATGCAATTGATAACAATTGACTCATATTTGAAAACAAATGTATTTTCTGTATATTAATTTTTTATCATTTAAAATTTGTTTGTCAAAAATTATAAAAAATGGCTTATACATGTATTATAAGTTAATAACAAAATATAAACAATGCTTCATTTGTTATACACAGATGGGAATACCTGTACAACAGATTTTTATTGGAGTAGTAACCCTTGCTTACTTTGTGAATGTCATCGTACTTGCGAATGGAGAGGACCAATTGATATGTACGGGGTACACATTCTACAAAGTGAAGAAAAATGGGCAAGCATTCTGTAAGGAATGTCCGTCGTGTATTGGTGGAGGAATAGGATGGGATACAACTGTAAATATAAAAAATATTGTGACCATTTTATATCTGATTGTCTTAATATGTTGTAGAATCAGACCTGGAAATCTAGTTCATTTATATTTGGTTTCTATCTTGCTACGTTCTTAACTACCGTCTGTTAAAGAATCTGATCATTTATTTGAAAAATGTTGTTGTTATTTGTAACGTTAATTATGTTGCTGTTTATTTATTGAACAGTTTGAATAGTAAATATTTTTGTCTTATAATAGCGTTAAATATGAATAATGATTTTGTTGTCTTATAAAAGCATAAAATATAAATAATAAGTAGTGATTTTGTCTTATAATATCTTAAAAAAAAGAATGATGAGGTTTTTTTGTCTTATAAAAGCATAAAATAAGAATAATAGGTATTTCTTTTTTGCCTTATAATAGCTTAAAATATGTTTTGAAAGACTTTAAAGATGTGTTTATCTATTAAATATACATACAGCTGGTAATAACATACATGCCATGTAAAGCAAGTTTCAAGTTATTCGAAAGTATAGTATAAAACATGTAGTCTGCTTCTATTTACAAAACAGCAACAACTTTTTCAGGAAACAAGGATTAAAGATGAGCATGGTTTCAGGTCGTGTTACAAGTGTGAGAAATGTAAACCTGAAACATTCCGTGTACTGGGATCATATGATTCGAAATGCGAGCAGTGTGGCCTTGATTGTGTCGCTAAGAACAGGTATGGTTCCGTTAGATGTGGAGGAGGGAATCCCGGACATTGTGGAGAGTGTATTAGTGGGTAATAATATACGTACTAATATATTGGATATCTTTATTATTTTTGAAGCAATTTGCACGCGATTTTCGTGCTTGTGTAGGTATTTACCTGAATAGAATTATTGAACTAAAACCGTCCGATTTAAGTATGGAAACACATAAGTAACATTACTTTTTGAAGCACCCTCGTAAGTCATTATTGCTGTCAATCAAATTATTAAGTGACAATTTTAAAAGTATTATTGTTACCTTATTATTTATGTATTGCACGCCGATGTTACAGGTACTACGCCACTTCGAAGGAATCTAACAGTAGATGTACCCTGAAGCCAACAGAAGGTATGTACAAATAAATTAAGATTGGAACATGCGAACATCCATTGTTCACAACTATATAAATAGATACACGTACCTTTGTTATGCTCTGTAACACCGCACTTTGGGGTCAAACGCACTTTGGGGTCCGACCCCAAAGTGCGTTAAAATTCGCACCGCACTTTGGGGTCCAACGCACTTTGGGGTCAAAATTGAGAAATTGACCCCAAAGTGCGTTAATATGCTACATATCAACGCACTTTGGGTTTAAGAGGTTTAAAGGTGTCATCTGAGTTCTGCTTAAATACTGAGTACTGACTTATTTTCTATCTGCGACATTTAAATATTTGAGGTGGAGTTCAAGATGGCGATCAATACTTTATGATGCTTAAGTGATAAAAGTTTCATTAATTTTACCACTTGAAATATCTAAAAAAATGTGTTCATATAACAAAATTACGGTGGCATAAAAATGACATTTGCATTTTTTTTGTTTTTAGTTTTGTATACATATTTTTTTTAGTTTTGCATTCATATTTTTGTTCGTACATATTTTTTTTTTGTTTTTCATACATATTTTAGCCTTCAAATCCCATAACAGTCCATAGTTGAGTATAAAACTAGCGCAGTGGTTTGGTCACATTTCGGCCCATTTTTTGGAATCGGCCCAGTCGTTTTCGGCCGGGCAAGTCTGGTTTCGGCCGACCCTTTTCGGCCCATGTTTTATATTATATGTATTTTATATAATTATTGTTTTTTTATTATTATATACTTTTATATTAGTGTCTATTTGGAAAGGTATGTTGATTGGTGACCAGTTATTATTCCATGCACCACTCAACCCCACCCCCTGAGAATTGGGAATTATGAAACTTAGGTCAATTATTTAGCACATCCAGATAATGTGCAGAACTTATATGCCAGGTGTGCCGGCTCAAGGTCGGGGTCACACCTACAGGTCAAAGGATAAAGACTTGGGTTTCATGTCTGCTCCTTATCTCCGAAACCCCATGAAAGATTTTAAGGCGCCTTGTGACAAATGTTAACCACATCGAGACCATATGCAGAACTTTTCTATGGGTTACCGCGGACTATATATTTATATATATATATATATATACTAAAAAGTGTTGTTATTTTTTTATACCTCCAAAAATGAAAATGTTGGTATTTGCAAATGGCATTTGCAAATGGGGTACTGCAATTTACAGATGGCGAACTGTTTGAAAATGGTGTTTTACAAATGGTGTAATTATCCAAACCTCTACTTTGCAAATGGAGTCATGTAAAAATATGTACGAAAAAAAACAAAAATAAAATATTTACAAAAATAACTAAAATAAAATATGTATGCAAACTAAACAAAGAAGTATGTATTCAAAACTAAAAAAAATATGTACGACAAACAAACAAAAATATGTACGAAAAACAAACAAAAAAAGTATGAAAAAAAAATGTCACTTATGCCACCGTTCAAAATACTCTAGTACAGAAATTGTGTATTCCTAGAATTAAAAGATGCTGCGAAAAATAACCCGTTCTGTCGGTCATTTACGTGATAACTTTTGGGAATAAAATAAAATGCAGTTAATAATTTTTTCCAAAGAACTATTAATGTACTCTATTGCAATGTTTTGGTGAAACATCAAGTTTTTCGATCGGACTATAAATAGTGATTTTTACAAATACATTATTAAGCTAATCAACAAACTTAAGGGTATTTGTAAGCCCCGTAACGACTGTTCGAATCTTACATACTTCTTTAGAAAGAGCAAACATGAATTTTATAATGTTAAAATAATGGTATCTGAGAAATGTAAGATGCTTGTTACCTGAATACAGTAGCGATAAATGTGAAATTATTTGTCATAAAAGAAGTTAAAACACTGTAGTATTTGACTTCCATATAAAATACTAATTCACTATAACTGTATAATCATCATTACCAAAAAGCAACAGATGAAAAAGATGGTTCAGGTAATTGGCCAATGTGTATTTTTTGGATAATATAGAAGAACATCAAAATAAAAAAGCTTTTAAGAAAAACAAATAAAAGCATAATGGGCCTTTAAAACGTTATTTTTAACCCCTGGGGGGATCGATACCCCACAATCCCCTCTATACCCCCAGTGAGAATTATTCTGAAGCTCCGCTCTTACACGCCTGGCAAACTGTCGCTCCACTTCAAAATTGTGGTGTACGGTAAAACGAGCGAACGGCATTTCCGAGATAGAGCGGAAGGCCGTTTTTAACGCCTAATTGTAAGTATTGTTTATGTTTTTGTCTTGTTATTTATTTAAGTTGTATTTTTTCGAAAAACGGAAAATGTAGTTCCGTGTAGGATTGATTTAGGTTTCCAATGATCTAAGCTGTTACAAAAAGAAAATTATATTAAGCCCTGGAGAACTTTTCTCCCTGACGAAGCGAACGATGATTTGTAGAATATTGAACTTCCCAACCATAGAAACGCATACCTTTCGGATTTCTTGAAAAAGTGTATTAGTAAATTATCAACCCGTAATAAGAACTTGTCCTTCGTGCAAAATAAATTACTCCTGAAGGATTTCTTAAATTTGTAAATCGATATTTTTCGAAAGTAGTGGAGCGAAAGGGCGAGAGATGGAGCAAAAGGTTCGATGTTGAGCGCAAGGCGATATTAATTTGACGTATTAGGAGGAGCGTAGTCAATGATTTTATAAATAAAAGCTATAGAAGTTAAAATAGACATGATCAAGTGTTAAGACCGAGATATATATATATCTTTTAAAGAGAACTAATAAAGTGTGATATCCTTTCAACGACTATAGCGTAATAACTGTAATCGCGAAGGTGTCACCTATGGCTTCTGTGTAGATTCCTTTATTTATGTTCGCAATTTGGATGAGGCCCGACCATTGAATCATACACATTAATGCATGGCATAATACAGGATGCCACTTATTCGAGGTCAATCATGATTTTTGACACGGTTATTTACATTTAAAAACGTGTGTCCGTGCAAATGCGACAAAGTCGAATATTTTTAGTTCTACCGCGAACAAATGTTTCCGAGCATGTACGTGTCACTCGATTGTTTACGCCAAAATGTTATGTTTTTCGATAAGTTAGATATTCAAGGTGCAGAACAGAAACAAAATTATGCAATGCATGGAACACATTAAATTAAATGGATCACTACTACCAAGTTCAGTTCACAATGACTTTCTGTAATTAATAGCTAAATTAACGTACCTGTTCTGAGCAAAACACAAATAAGTCACGTTTTCATGAATTTGTAAGGTGGGAAATCGCTATGAAAATGGTTGACAAGGTGTCAGTCGTTATAAGGATATAACACGTGTTCCAGTTATGTTTCAAGATACTTCCTTCCTTATTTAGCATTGTTGTTTAGTTTATTATTTTCCTCTCAAAGTGAGGCAGAACTCAGTCGGTGTACGGACTAAAATTATCAATAATATAATAGGCCTAGTTATAGTAGAAATTTCTATTTACACTTTCAGACGAAAATAATTACGGGTCGATAATTTACTAATACACTTTTTCAAGAAATCCGAAAGGTATGGCATTTCTTTGGTTGGGAAGTTCAATATTCTACAAATCATCGTTCGCTTCGTCAAGTTTCTCATATGTCACATTAAGCTTAATAAATGGCTCGTCCAACATATTATCAGGCACATTTTTTACTGAAATGTCTAACTAAGATTTCCCAGAATTTATACCTTTGTCTATGCTAAGACTATCATATTTCTATAAAATGTGTAAATAAAAAAACGGGAATATAATGCATTTAGCTAAAAACAATGGAGTTAATGAAAGGTGTACATTCTTTTAAAATAAATAGCAAAAAATTTGAGAAAAAATATTTTAAGCTTAATAATTGATACAAATTCTTTATTTGGTGATTTATTTGGTGAAAGTTCTTCACTAAAGTCTTACTAATCAAGACCATTTAAATCCCTATTGATTCTACTATAATTCAGGGTACATGTTTGGGTCTATTTTATACCTTGATTTTTTGTTTACCATTAGCTTTGACTATAATATATTATTTAAAACATAATGAACATTAATTTTCTATGACCCCAAAGTGCGGTCGTTTGCCTGATGTTAAAAAATGCATATGTACCTGTTTAACGCACTTTGGGGTCGAAATTGGACCCAAAGTGCGTAACGCACTCTGGGGTCGGACCCCAAAGTACGTAACGCACTTTGGGGTCGAACCCCAAAGTGCGTTTGACCCCAAAGTGCGGTGTTACAATGCTCAACCAAGAGCATCGCGGGATGTCAGCGGAGGAAAAGTGAGGAAAATATCTTTGAACAACTTTTAAAGAAACCAATGTAACGATTATTTTAGTGATAGATGTAGGGTCATCATTGCGATTTTGTCTTTAAAATTTACGTCAAAACACCAGGGTTTTCTCAAAATGCCCCATTTCCCTATTTATTTTAGGTAATGAAGATGTGAAAACAGTAACGGAGAAAACAACAACTTTGGAACACAGGTTGGAAGAGAACAGACGTCAGCCTAATCCTTTAGCAGACGTTCCAATATGGATTCCTAGTGGCATTCTGTTTATTGCATTCCTAGCAGTAATAGCTTGTGCGATTATCTCTGCACGTTGGCAGAAGAGAAATAAAACATCGGCACAGAGTAATATAGGTATGTTAAAGAGTAATTTACATTTTCAAATTCACGAAGATGTATTTGTCTTCGTTCCTTCCGTTCATTTGAATGTTTTTGGTTTTGATTTTGTTTGTTTTGTTGCTTTTATGTGTTGTGTGTTTTGCTATTGTTATTGGACTTTACTGTTTATTTTTTTAATGTTGTTTTAGTTTTGTTTGTTCAATTTTTCTGTTTGTTGTTTTATTTCTTTGTTGTTTTGTGGGGGGGATGTTGTTGTTTGTTTGTTTTGTTGGTTTTTTAGAGGGTTTGGGTTTTTTGTTGTTGTTTCTTTGTTGTTGTTGTTGTTGGTGGTGGTAGTAGGTTGTTGTTGTTGTTGTTGTTGTTTTATTTGTATTTTTAGAAATTCTTATAATCTATGTATGGCAAAATTGCAATTTACACAATGTTTCACCTACTATTATGTTATATTTGACTAGCTGTATTTATGAATCGACGCTTTCATTTTGGATGTTATTTTTTTTCATGTTCCAAAAGCATATGACTCTAAAAGGGCTCTGATAAGCAATGGAAGTAGTTTAGATGGAGAAAACTTGGAAACAGATGGTGATAACGATGTCAAGGTGAGGGGAGAACGTCCGGAAGCAGTAACCATCAATGAGATAGGTAGGTACTAGCCATTCAGTGGAAATTAAGGCCTTGAATAAAATGTGATGAACTGATAAAAGCTCCACAGTTTGTGTCCCTTAGCACCAGACTATGCACAAAATTGACAACCTTAAAATCAACCATCACGGATGATGAAAAAATATTTAACAGATCCGGATGAATTGTCAAACCTCGCTCTAAATTTAAAGCATGTATATTGACACACACACTTCTAAACCGCCCTTGTTTCATTCATATATATTCCTTAAAATGCGTACTTGTTTGTTCTTGTATAACGAGACGATAAAATATTAATGGAACAGCATTAAATATTAATGGAACAGCGTGACAAGTCATTAGTTTTAATTGCTTTTATGAAACCCCTATTAATTAAACATATCGTTACAGTATATAAGTGCTGTAGAGGATGAATACTAGTAATATATTTTTGGTAACTTAGTATACATGCACTTCTAAACGTATAGAGTTACACTAAATAGTTAGCTGAACTTGAAATATACATGTTCATATAGAAATAATGATATGGTATAAATAACTAACAAATAAAAGCATTATCTTCAAACAAAATACGGTAGTACCATTATTTATTGCGATATTGTATGGGTTTTTTTATAATAATTCTAACTTCTTTCCTAACAGAGGCTATGGGCTTTAGTTCGTCTTCTAAACGGCTGGAATCCCCGAACTTTGACAGAATTCTACACAAAGACGATAAAACGTTAGATGTCGTTGCCAACAACATACATGGTGAGAGGAGACATGAAATGTTTGAAACCTACCTAAAACTACCTAAACCCAAGACCTCGCCTGAGGAAGAGAAGTTTCATAAGAATTTATGTTCCTTTCCTGCTTACATTCTGGAAGTACTGAAAATATGGCTTCAATATGCGGACAAAGAGGCTACCCTGAAAAATCTTTGTAAAGCTTTAGAAATGGCAAGTTTTAATGATGTTGTAGGCAAGGTCCTAGATTTGCCAGAAAACCAGCCAGGTCTGGGTAATGTAGATGAATGTTAAAGATATATAAGATTTTACACGAGTTGTCATTTGATATTGGCTAATATGAAACAAATCTGATAAAGTATTATATAAATGGTGCGTTTGTGGAGCTATATCGCATTGTTCGGACAACTTTAACTCTTACCATGGTAGATATCTTAAATGGACTTGTCTGTCTTTCAAAATTTACATAATTATTCGTCAAATTTAGTGGAAATTTCAAAATATTAACTGACTACATTTCTATTAGTACATACCATGATCAGACGTATCGAGTGTCCCGGTAGGTTATGGTCTGCACGGGTAACATGAGTAGAATCTGTTGCCACCAGGATCCGGTTGTTCAAACATTGGTTTGTGTTAATTTTAACCAACGTTTTGAACAACCCGGTCCAGCAGGCTAAGGGTTAAGTTAATGTAAGTCCATAACGTCAACGAATGTAAGATTTTTATCACATTATATGCCAGAACATTCCGAAAACAACAACATCTTAATGACAGTTTCACGACATATAATTATATATTTAACGTTTGTGATATAAGGAAAATGGTGCTGTTAGATTGAAACACAAGGCGTCATATAATTAATTTATCGTTCTGGTAGTTGATACAAAATAGTATATTTACAGTTCTAACAATAAGATAAATGATTGTAGGTTTTTTCTTGCTATTGATTTAAAAAAAAAAGTACATGTATTTGTTAACAATTTTTAAAAGAAATAAAAAAATTCTTATCGTTATTAGACTGAATAGGGCTAGAATTTTTTTTTTAAAATATGGCTACAAAAATATTTTGATGTTATCTTTTGCTTCAAATATATAGAACTAAAATTGTTGTTTTTATTATGGTTCGTTGTTATAACATTATCAATCTCAAAAAGAAATCATGATCTTTGGTCACTTTTTGCTCAGGCTATAACACTTAAGAATTCCATTAAATGTTATTTGATCCAGTTTGTAAATATATTATATTACTATAATTTATCGGTGTAAATTATATTTAGTCAGGAAATTATTCATGTGTTAATATTTTACATAGTTTATATATGTATTAGAATCTGATGTGTGCACTATCATTGATGGATTTTAGTTGATTAATATTTAATATTTACTATTTACTTATTAAGGATACATAGCCCGGGTCTCCACGATACCGGTGTACATATTTTATACATTTTATGTATTTTATACATAACAGAGTTCTGTTACTCTGAAATTCTCGCTCACTACGAATGTAAACAATGGACGACCATTTTTGTATGACGTAGTTAAACAGACTTCATGCTACCGGTGCACTGGTAAAAATGTTATTTATATGGAAAGCCATTGCAGTTTTATTATTTAAGCATTCTTGTATTCATATCTGAAAGAAAAAACAATACAAAAAACTTTAAACAACATAAAAACGTGTGCTTCAATGATTAAAAAAATTGTGTGTTTTGCAGAGGGACTAATTTATGCAATGGAGGAATCGGATAGTAAAATAAAAATAAGGTAGGATATGTGAAATATTTTCTTCAGAAACTCGTCAAAATGTTTGAAAACTTTTAAATAGCCAATATTACTAGAGCATGTCAATATAAACAGTCGGTAGGTGGCGTTGACAATAGTATCGCAAGATATGTTGATACACCGGTATCATGGGGTTCGAATATAGTATTCATGATTAAGTTTAGTACAATTTGATTGTTTAATAGTTAGTTCTGTAAGTACACATTGTTCAGTTGTTTATAGCTTTACTCACTGCATCTAGTCGAAAATCTTTACGTTACTTTATTTCATCTTTTCTTTGCTCAATACAACTCAACCCACATTTACAGCAGAAAAAGTCCCTTTGGAATTTTGAATCTCATCTCGGTGTTTTTTTGTCTTTTGTTATATTCATAAAGTAGGATGTCCCTCTTAGTACCGCTGTACTTTTTTCAGCTAATTGAACAATTAAAATTAATACTCTTACTGTCATTTGCTCAGATTGACATATTTCTAAGATCGGCTTCGTATGCAAATGTGTCTATGATCAGATAAGTACCACGTTGTCATCGGCAACACGGTATATCAGCGGAAATTACTAAATTTACAATAACAAATTTACACAATAGTTATTATGTTACTATTTGATATTTTACCGGGAAAAAATTGATAATGAATGCCGATAAGAACTGTTTAAAATAGATGTATTTCAACAATAAGTAAAAGTACATGTAAAAATTTTACATAGTTAATTACTCGGAGTTTTCTGTACTGATACTTTAGCTTGTTCTAATTTTTGTAAAAGTTTATTTTTATATTTTTTTCTTCCTTTTTATGCAAAATGTCCCTGATCAACGTTTTGAAATTCTCTGTTACGAAATATATACTAGTATATGTTAACAAGATATACATGTATATACTCGACGTTAAATGCTCTTTTTGTTCCTAGTTTATATTTTTGTTTACTTTTTTTGTACAGAGATTGAATTATATCATTTGAAATAATAAAAAGTTTGAAATGATAAATTGTTGTTAATTTATTATGTAAGTAATATAAACTTACAAGAACTTTGAGCCTTTACTGTGATGATTAACATCTGAATATCATTGTTGGTTGTGTATGTATGTATGTATGTATGTGTGCGTTTGTTTGTTCGAACGTGTGTGCGTACATGTATGTATGTATGTATCCTTAATAAGGGACCAACTATGCATGCACAAAATGTCGCCTTTGCATGGAGTACAAACCCCTTCTTATGTTGGAAGCATAGAGTGGTGATATTTATCCTCCGTGCAATTTCAACAAAGTTTTAGCCAAAGAGCATAATTTTTAGCCGAAAGTATGCCACTGTATTAAGCGGTCAATATACAATAACCAGTAACAATTATGAAGAAGTTTATTTTGATAATGGCTGTTGGTTCCAACCAAATAGTCTGCCTTACAAGCCGTCTGTACATACTAGGGGCTCACACACCCTAGTAACCTTTCTTGTTATTCCTGTCCACTCTCCTCGGATTCAGACAAGATATCGGCAGCTAGTGCGCAGAATAAAATGTATTTTCTTGCATTTTTTGTGTCCAAGCTGTCCCTCGCAACGACATGCATGTACCCGCGGGATAGACAGAGTGAAGCACCATACCGGAATTATCATTAGAATTTAAAACGTATGTATTTCGACTTTCAAATTTCTTATTATCTGTGTCCAGAAAAGTAATGTGTATAAGTTACTTCTGTTTGCGCTTTATTGAAACTCATAAATATCTGGACTCGGCGACCTTGATTGCATCGATCCTAAACGAAATGCAAGGGTAAAGATCTGCGCAATTGCTTATATACTATAATGCCCTGTGAGGAAATGTAGAAAACTGTATGTAAAATTTGCCTAAATAAATACGTGTTTTAAGACACTATCATTATTAAACAATGTTATTATATATGAGCCGCGTCATGACAAAACCAGCATAGTGGGTTTTCGACCAGCATGGATCCAGACCGACCTGCGCATCCGCGCAATCTGATCAGGATCCATTCTGTTCGCTATCAGTTTCTCTACTTGCTATAGGGTTTGTAAGCGAACAGCATGAATCCTGATCAGACTGCGCGGATGCGCAGACTGGTCTGGGTCCATGCTGGTCGCACACCCATTATGTTGGTTTTGTCGTGACGCGGCTCATATGTTATGATATAGGAGACAACTCTGTAATGTTTACTAGTATACATTATATATGAGTATATAAATAACTTAATCTGATTAAAATGACAATTATTTATCAAATCATCAGCATGATGTACCTTTAACATGGTTTAAATCTTGAAACACGTTTTCATTGTATGGATTGAAAGTATTGGCCTTTTTAAGGAAAACGCAACCATTTCGCAAAATAACGGCCATATACGTGTGCCGAATCTAAATAAATATGTAATTAATTCATCCAGTTAACTCCAACTCTTTTGAATGATAAAATTCAGTGTGGCATGAAACATTAAAAAAGGATCAATAAATTTACATATGCTTTGAAAGTGGAAATATTCTCTTTTGAAACTTAAAGCACGAAATGTCTTTTAACTATAAAACTGGTTATCCAGTGATACTTTACATTATAAAGGGGTTTTTATATTTATTTATTTTTTGAATACATATTTGGAAAGCATCCATAAATGAGGTTTAAAACTTCTTGCCGTACTCGTACTTGGGAAACTTAAAAAATGAATATTAACACTTCGCATGTTCTGGAATTGAAATATTTATATATATATATATCATTAATTAATGCATTTTATTTCTAGATCTATATAAAATATGACTGCATTTTACAACAATAATGAACTGTTTGTTTTGCTGACTGCGATATGCGCATTTTCCGCAGGTATGCTATTTCATTGTTTTGCTGTTGTGTTGTTATTATTGTTGCTGTTTTTTTTTGTTGTTGTTTGGGGCATTCTTGAAATGGTAAAATGTGAAAACATTTAATATCGGCTGATACTGTGCATATGAAGACGATGTATGTTCGTTCAGTTTGAATGAACGGCAAATTAATAATGCATATAAACATTAGTGCCACAAGCTCCGTTTTAATATTCAAAACTAATAACTGATTAAACTGAATCGTTAATTCACTGATGAGCTTAGCGTCTCAATGAGTAGTTATAACGGTACTATTCGTTTATTACTGTACGGAAATATTGTTTGAATACATGTTGGGAAAATGTTCATACGTGATATTTAAAAATTCTTGCTGTACTTGAGAAACTTAAGAAAATAAATATTAACACTTCAAGTGTTCTGGAATTGAAATATATATAATTTATTAATAAATAATATTTCTATATAAAATATGACTGCATTTTACAATAATAAAGAACTGTTTGTTTTGCTGAATGCGATATGCGCATTTTCCGCAGGTATGCTATTTCATTATTTTGTTGCTGTTGTTGTTGTTGTTGCTGCTGCTGCTGTTCGGCTAACACTGTGTATGCGAAAACGATGCAGGCTCAATTTGAATGAACGGCGATTTATTATGCATATAACCATTAGTGCCACTAGCTCCGTTTTAAATTTATATTCAAAACAAATCGTTAAGTCATTGACGTGTTTGAAGCATCTTAATGAGTAGTTATCAAGACAGTATTATTCATATACTAGAATTTTTAAATATTCATTGCATGATACGGGTATATATTTGGACGTGTAGCATAGCTATAGTAACCGAACTGGACCTATAGTGTATTATACAGAACAGCCTATTATTTATCCAAATTATATCATTTGAGCCGCGTCACGACAAAACCAACATAGTGCGTTTGCGACCAGCATGGATCCAGACCAGCCTGCGCATCCACACAGTCTGATCAGGATCCATGCTGTTCCCTGAAACTGATAGCGATCAGCATGGATCCTGATCAGACTGTGCGGATGCGCAGGCTGGTCTGGATCCATGCTGGTCGCAAACGAACTATGTTGGTTTTGTCGTGACGTGGCTAATATACCTTTTTCATAGTGGTCAATTATTGTTAACCATTGTTCAAATAATTGTACTAACATATTTTGTACGATCTCTTGCATGTCGTTTTGTTTCCATGGTTGTCATAGCAACAGATAATGGTTGTGGCGAGGTACGCAGACGTGCTACTGAGGATCCGCAGAACCTGACATCCCCGAACTTCCCACTGCCGTATCCGAGGTTAGATGAATACATGTATCTATAAAGTATAAAACCGTCATAGATACAGACATTCTATTCATATATTCAGTATGACACGCTTTGCTATTGGTTACTTATATGAAGTTGCGTGCGTGTATGCGCGTGAATGTGTGTTTTCTTATCCACTTTAAATGAACGTCAATGTCTTTGACCCAAAAATTATCATAGACAGTCCATTCAGCACAGACAAAATAAATGATTCGGCAAATCGCTGCATTTTTTAAATAATAACCATTGCGATATTTAACAGTTCTTATTCAAAATTCTTAGATTTGAGAAACCAATAGTGTACACTCTACTGCAAATAGTATATAATTTCTGAAGTAGAAGCCGAGATAGCGAGGTTGCTTAAATTAGCATCGTTCATTTCCTTCCTTTTATTCGGTATCTTATAAATATTTTATTAGACCGTTAAAAATAAGATGCCATTGGGATATTGTCGAAAAGTACCCATCTTTAAAGTTCATGCCTTCTTTTCATCTTCATTCAAAGATGGGGGTTACGTCATATTGAAACTAATGGCATTTTAAGGAACATTATGTCTCATAACAGCATTTTATTCTTCTTTATAATACGAGTTTTATTATCGTTAAAATAATTGTTTTAAAGCATTTTAGATACTTATCACCTGAAGAAAGTATCGTTGAATCAGAAATTATTTGCCATAAAGGTAGGAAAATGTAAATTTACCTTCCTTACAAAATACTAAATCACTATAACTGTGCTATTTGTTTAAAGGCAAAAGAAGCAAAACATGGTTTTTCGGAAACTCTTAACGTGGTATCAAAAATATAAAAAAAAGACTTAGGAGAAGTAAAAATGAAATTATTTTTGGGGCAATGTCCGGAATAATGGGTCTTTAAGATGGACAAAAAGGCTTTACCATGTTTGTTTTCCTGTTACAACATAAAGTGAACATGTACATGCATTTGTTATTCAGGAATACCACGTGTACTTGGTGGATATCATCAGTGTATTTCTATAGTGATATCTATATTGAACTCAAACATCTTGATATAGAGGACAGCAATGACTGTGATGATGACAGCCTCACTATCTATCAACGTATGTATTATCTACGGTATTCTGATAGGGCCATCATTTCTTCGCATCAGAGGAAGCCATTGCGAAGAAACGATGGCCCCAACGGAACACCGTAATTACTCTGTACTGAACTGTCGCATATATTTCCAGCTTTATTGACAGGAAAACCCTAACATTCCCCATCCGTGCATTATAATAGCGAAAATCTGGTTAGAGAAGGCGACCTTTTTGAGATGAGTAATTTTGCTCCTCAGAACAGTTCAGTCCTTTCAGGAATTAAAACCCATAACGGCAACGAATATAGTCACCGCCCTTTAACATTCAGCCACGGAATAATTCAAAATGATATCATTGGAGAAGTTCATAGTATTGTGAGCTATAGCCTATACGTCAGTTCTTATAACGAAATTTGTCAGTTCTTATATCGGAATTTACAAGAGCGTTTGACCATTATGTCAATATGTAAAGATTTGTGAAAAAAATAGACATTGCATTCAGTATTTGGCCTATCAATTCTTCACATTTGTAAATCTTCGACTATCTGAAAACAAACAGGTATAATGACGGACTCGGCCCGGTGAATTTTCGTACTATTAGTTCTATAGTAAATCAGTCAAATTTGAGGTTTAATTCTGGATTCCAATGTTCTTGATGAATTATATACTGTCTTCAACTTTAAACATTAACACTATCTAAGTCAAATGATGCCCAAAATATAATAGGTTAGCCATCTACTTTTTTCAGAAATCTTCATTCTGTTGTAACACTGTTTAAATTCACCACTTTAAAAACTCCTGACAGCTGGTGGGTAGTACATCTTTAATCCTTCCACCAACAAATGAGTTCCTGGAGAATACACAAAAAACAACTTTTAAAGTCATCATATAACACACAAAAACTACACACATGCAATAAATACACTTTAATTATGAACAATCTAACTAGAGATGACTTAAATTGGGCCATTTCATAATTTTAAAGAACTACTTTCTAGACTACAATGGGCTGGGTCTAATTCCGTACCGGGTTGAGACCTAAATGAATCCAAAATTTAAGTAAAGCCAAACTTTATACTCATTTCCTAGTAATTAAGTGTTATACAAATACAGTCATATAGGTTTGACATGTCTCTAACAAATTACATTAATGCGGTACAATTTCTTAAATATGAACCTTCATGCGAAAAGTCAGGCTCGGCCAATAGAATTTTACGCAAAAATTTATATTACAAATTCTGTCATATCTTTTGATTCTGTAAATGGATTTTCTTTGAATAAAGTTTAATGTTACCGGCTAATGTCATACAGTTACTTCTATGAAAGAATAAGACCTTATTGCTTAAAAATTGTAATAGAAATTCAATTTCTTTAAATGAGAGCATGAAATTTTGGGTTAAAATACAAGTAATCACAATTAAATGTGCTTTTTTCAAATTTTTTTCCTTCAATATTGTAATAAAACTTACTGATTATGATTTTTACCTATATACCATGGTAAATAAAGTTAAGAACCAATATACACACCCTACATCGTTTGCTTAAGATATCAATAAAGACAAACAGAGGTAATCTTAAGGTTAGCAAAGAGGTTACCATATCACCATGGGATATGTCTTCTGACAAAGTAAGATTAGCCAACTCTCACACAAATAAGGCTTTAAAAAGATGACACATACTGTCCCCCACTTTAAATCATTGAGAAGTCTTAATATAGTCAGAATTAGAGAAATTTTCTCCTGAAATACATCAAAATAACTACCAAATATTACCCGAGCATTGGGAGGCGCTACCGCCAATAGCTGAAGTTTCAAACTAGACATAAGTTATTACCTTCTCAATGTGTCCTGACAAAGCTGCTGCCAAACAGAGCTGAAGGAGTCCTTCTATAGATCTTTACCAGGATAAGGTAAGGTCATATACTCAAACCCAGGCTTTGGTAACTGCATGGTCTGAAAAAATATGCAACACTAGTACATGCTTAAGAAAATTATAAGGGGCATTTATGCTGTAATTCTAATATCTGAAAAAGAAAGAAAATAATGTCTTAATTAATAAATGGCTAGATTTGTTAATTCACACAGGAGAGCTTATATAAATATTGTGTTCTGAAAAATGCATGCCTGCATGAAAATAGCAGTTAAGACATTATAAACCTAACCTAATTTAACTGCTGTAGCAGCTACAACAACAACAACAATTATATCAACTGTGTTATTCTAAATGAGCCAATTATCCATAAAATACACTGTTTAATGACTAGAAAATCTTTTATGTGTATATATTACTAGCAAATACATTCTGCAACACAGCAAAACATCAAGTTTCACTACACTGAAAATGCCTATATTTCCAAAATATAAATCACATTTGTCCTGTTCAATTGTTAGTTCTTCTTCATCTAAATACAGGACAATAGTGAATATTTACATACTGATTACTACAGCATCAATCCTTTGCTGAAACATCAAAACATATAATGTGTGGTCCATATGAGCAATAGGCTACTATGGTGCTTGTTCGAATCCCATGGCCGGTGAATCTTGGGCCCCTTAGAGAGCTCTGGAATGAGCTTGCCAATCACTTATTTTATCAATGTAACCAATCTGAAACCACACACTCCCCAATTCCTTCAATGCATAATTTATCCATAATTTAAGATGCATTTCTCTAAAAATTATCATTTTCTATATAAATCTTATAAAAATAAGCTAGATTTATAGCATATTGCTTAACACAGGGTGCAAAAATAAAATTTATCAATTTATAAACTGCTTTTTACAAAATTTAAATTTCATTTTTTAATTCTAAATTTATTTTTACAGTTTTAATTCAATAAAATGTGGTTAATCTTTCATGCAAAAGCTCTGTACCTTTCTCCCTGCTTACTGACACAGTAGCAGACATCTACATTTGAAGGGGAGATAACAACAACAACATATGTCCCAATTTAAAATGTCAAATTTTAAAATTTGAAATAAAATTTAAAATTTTAAAACCTGTCAGTAATCCTTTATTTTCCTGACTTCTATTCATAAACACAACACTGATGCAAAGTTTCATCCATATCCATCAACCAGTTCCCATTTTTGACATTTCTTATCTTGGACTCGGCCCGGTGAATTTTCGTACTATTAGTTCTATAGTAAATCAGTCAAATTTGAGGTTTAATTCTGGATTCCAATGTTCTTGATGAATTATATACTGTCTTCAACTTTAAACATTAACACTATCTAAGTCAAATGATGCCCAAAATATAATAGGTTAGCCATCTACTTTTTTCAGAAATCTTCATTCTGTTGTAACACTGTTTAAATTCACCACTTTAAAAACTCCTGACAGCTGGTGGGTAGTACATCTTTAATCCTTCCACCAACAAATGAGTTCCTGGAGAATACACAAAAAACAACTTTTAAAGTCATCATATAACACACAAAAACTACACACATGCAATAAATACACTTTAATTATGAACAATCTAACTAGAGATGACTTAAATTGGGCCATTTCATAATTTTAAAGAACTACTTTCTAGACTACAATGGGCTGGGTCTAATTCCGTACCGGGTTGAGACCTGACTTGTTATACCACAAGCATATAGCCAGGTCATCGTGCACTGCCGTGCATCAAAACAGGCAATCGCACCTTCTCGGACCTTTCCGTCAACCTTTGGATAAGAACAATAGCTAAGATGTTCCGATTGTAAAGGCTGTATATCAGTTGGCTTCCTAATTTATCATTGCATAATCAACAATAGATGGTGTTAATAAGAACACAAATAATTAGCTTGGAAAGGTTAACCGTATAATCATTTGATATTTTCTTAGATTACAAAGGTGACGAGTTTGTTGTTAAGATATGTGGAAATGAAGCCTCTGACGAGACACTGAAGCTTGGTAGAGATGTGACCATTGTTTTCAAAACTAACAACGATATCGAACGAACAGGATTCGTCCTACAGTACTACATGGTTGAGGGTAATTTTAATTTCTCTATAATAAATAAGAATACATGGAATAACGAGTCGGTCGGCATTAGTCCGTAACACCACGATTCGTTCACTTAGTAACCACACTGGCCATAGCTTTCGCCAGAAGCGGTGGGTCCTACCGCAGCGACGGTGGAGTATTCGTCGCAGAAGCGGTGGATAAAATATGGCCGTTTGCTGTTGTCGGTAAGTATATGACAGAATTTTGTTTTATGTTTTAATGTTTTTAACTGGAAACACTCAGTGAAGACTGGAGCCCACATATGTACTCTTTCAACCTATTACACGGACACGGTGCAATTCATTGCCGTTTACGCAAACACTTCTGTACAGTTTGATGAGGGGACGCCACTTTTGCCTAATTTTGGTTAAAACACATACAAAATGTGTGCAAAACGACCCCATCATGCATCGGCATCACATTCGATCAATGATACTTTCACAAATTAACCATGATTTGAAAAAAATTGGGAAATTATTATTGCCTGTTTATAAAATAAATGACAAAAAATGTTTTCGTCGCAGACGGCGGTGGATTCGATTGCAACGCAGTGCGGTGGACCCGATACCATTTTTGTATATTTTTAAGAAAAATTTAACTTGACGTAAGGCACTTTTTAATTGAGTGCAGCCATTTTCTTACTTTGACATCTGAGAAACGTGTTTATTTGATGTTTAAAACGATATTAATTATTATATATACTCTCGTACAAATATATGTCAGAGGTCCGCTTTCATTTTCCTTCC